TTTTGTTTGCAATAAAGTAAAACACATTAGATGGTTCCATTCTAACTCCTTGACCATAATTACTTAAAAAGCCCCAAATGACTACATTGAGGGGAAGCAGAGCAAAACGTCCAGGAATACCAGATGCACCGATTAGTAAACCTCCCAAAGGCTACAAGGAAAGAAACTTTATACGATAACTTAGAGCGTATCCCTTAAAGCTTCCTCAGCTGGAGTACTTTCTACTGCCAGCGGTTTGACACACTTGTTTCTTTTGAATACATAAAGAATGCATTTAGGAGCATATTTTACAAAATAGTCCGTAACCTTGCAGTTTATATAAAATAGTTCATAACCTCGGTCTGCCAAAGGGCAGGGGCTTTGTACAAGTGGGTCAAACGAAAATATCTGGTTGTGCTCAGTCTGACCTGTAGTTCTTCTCACATGCAAAGGTAGAGGCCCCAGTGAGAGGAAGGACAGAAGAAATAGAGCAGGGCATCTGCCCAGGGCTGGAGAGATGTTGGTCAGATCCCTGTTCTGCCTTCTCATCTCCCTATCGATATGGCTGATACAGAAGCATTTCCCTTTCTCACAATGATATTCTGAGGATAAATACACTAAAAGACGAAGTTGTTCAGCTGCTGCCTTGTATTATTAAGATTGCTCCTTCTGATTATATGCCTAGATTTCATCTTCGAGTGCTGCATGAGTCAAAAAAACCCAAACCAAACCATAAAAGCTGTGTTTCTGTAAGATACAGTCTGGCTACAAGCATCACTCGGAGCAACATTGCTGTGGTGTCTCTAATGGCCTCAGAAAATCCCTTATATAAAAAAATATTTGCTTGGAGCAGGCACAGGGATACTGCCAAAGAATCCTGGCCTTAAATATTGAGGCCAATGCTTTCAGAGCTAAGACACTGGGAAAGCAGTGAGTGTAGACCATCCATGCCATGTAGGGATATTTGTGTAAGCTTTGGCAGTCGTTACAGCCATCTGAAACACCGATAAGCACAAACAAAACATTTTGCCTGTGTAATCATCCGCATACTGACCTCCTTGCCTCCCTGCTGCCTTCCTAGTGTTCTACTGTAGCTCTGCATTGCTGAAAACCATTTTATGCGGCAGAGAATAAGGTTACAGTTATCCGTGGGTGGATCCGCACCTATATTGTGAAAAAAATTGGTGTGTCCTCATGAAGCTACCCTGAATAACCTCAGTGCTAATGTTTTCTTCAAATTGCAGAGAAATATGCATCTGGTGCCATCTTTCACCTCTGGTTCTTGTCACTGCCCAGTTGGGCGCAATACACCAGAGCTGGTTAAAAGAGGCTTAAAGCAGCGATGTATGTACGTTTTCTTTTCACATATCTCAAATCTGTTGCAAGAAGACATTTTCACGAAGGTCGGAGCTGGGATTGGTATCTTCAAATTTTGAGCCAAATGGATATAAATTTGGTGCTTCTTGACCCAACATGCTGATTGTACCAAAAGCGCAGAGGGTAGCTGCCAGCACAGAAGTCAGTGCGAGAACATGGAAAGGTCAAACTGACCCTGGCAGCTTGTAAATCTGGAAAGCCTTTCTGCGTTTAGCCTTAGAAAAATCATCAAGTCTTAGTTTCCTCCTTTTTAAAAAGGAATAACCTGTCCTCCTCGAGCCTGAAACGTGTTCCTCTCAGAAACATACTGGGTGCAACGAATGCTGCATGAATGGGGGCTGAGGGTCCCCCCAGGCTGCGGGATAGTCCCGGGTGCACAGAATTATGAGCACGGGAGATGCAAGAAGGCGCGGCCCTGCTATGGCAGGTAGCTGCTAAGTGGAGCTGTGCTCGCAGGAATAGGTTTCATTTTGAAAACCTTTTGGTTTCATTTTGGAAACCTTTTGGTTCAGACTTAAAGGCAAACCAACAAAAAGCTTCCCACTTCTCAGGTAGGAAGACAAGTTTGGTAGTAATTGTCTTTTAGGGAAGTTTGGTAGTAACAGCCCTTTAGGAAGCCTGTGAAACTCAGGAACTGGAAACTACCTATTTGGAAGGACTTGAAGAAATGGTTGATCTGCAGGAAAGCAAATCAGACATCAGGAAAAAAGATGCTGATGGTTGGGATTGGGATGGTGAAGTTGTGGGACAGGTTATAGGATCAGTTATCAAATCCCCTTTGCTGGAAATTTTTAAAAACAGAGGAAGGGATTGGTGAATGTAAAGGGAACTGATGGTAATTTGGTGCGGGAAAAATGTCTGAGGAGCCTCTCAACCACACGTCTGTGTGATACCATTGCTGAAAGGCAATGCTGGCAGCAGGAGAGGTAAGGAACTCAGAGGAGAGGCGAGATGAGACAGAACAGGATGGTGACGGGCATGTTCCATGCTCTGCGCAGTCCGTTGCTGGTGTGACCGGTTTGGCAGTGTCAGAAGAATCTCAGCTATGGGACACAAAGCCCCAGGGGACGTGTCTGTCCCTCATCCTGCAGCTCACCTCCTGAAGCACAAGTGCTTATGGCTCCTATTGATTTCTCTTTTTCTGTCTTTATGGTGGAGGTTGTTATTACTCTTGATCGAAGTTACCTTGTCCCAGTTACTGATATGAAGAATCATCATAAATCATACAAAGTTTGGTATTAGTGTGGGAGTAACTCAGGGACTAAATAAAAGTTTGATGATCTGACCTTCACATACAACAGCTGACTGCCATTTTGTGATCTACATTTAGATTTTTTCCACATAAACCAAATCACTACGCATCCTCTGTTTCACAAATTGCAATAAACATTTTGAAACACTCTATAATATAATTTGGTCTTGTCTCGTAAATGTCTCTGAACTCCACCCTTCAGAATGAGAGTGGTTTCCCTAGTAACTAATATATTCCAAAAAAGACAAAAACAAGCGGGAAAAAAAAAAAAAGACGAATGACAAGAACTGAACCTGTTTGTTGCACACAAGATACACCACAGTCTGGGTACTGTGAACTTTTTATTGCCACTTGTTTTGTAATACTGTCCTCCCAGACTCATCCCAATAAAAGGTTTATTTCACCTCGAACTGCCAGGGCATGGCTTGCTCCATAGGTAGGGCATGGCACAGTTAGGACCGCTAGCGGGGCAGCCTGTGGAGCTGAGACTGTGTACCTTCGTGATGGTTAAAGGAACCAGTCATGAAATGTGGCTCCAGACATGACATCCCTCAGCTCTTCCTTGCAGAGCTGACAGAATGGATGTGAGTCAGTGCCTCTCTCTGCAGAGTGAGGTCTGGTGCCCCTTGAAACCTGGTCCAGAGAGCAGCAGAGGTTGGTTATTCAGGAAAGTCATGCAGATGGGAATTACAGGAAAAGATAAAGAATCGTTTGCCAAAGGTCTCTCAGCTGACCACTAAATTCAGACAAGAAAATTCATAATTGACACTCTACTTTTTTAAACTAATGTAGGGAACTGATA